AGGCGTCCTGAGCGTATGTGCAATTACGGTGTTGTCCCGGTTGTCGCTGTGAAAAAAATCCACGGTGAGGAGCGGTTTGCTTATCGGCGCTCCTCTTAATACATTCGCAAGAATACGATACAAATTTTTTTCTGTGTTGAATATTGGAGGCGCTTCTTCCGGAGCGGACGTTCTGTGAAGTCACGATGCGTGGTAACTCTGTGGTCGCTTTATGGCTGGCTTTGCTTCTCTGGAGCGTGATTCTGTTCCCGTCGTGAAGAAGGGCTCGATGCTGGAGACGGTGTCTTGTTTGGAGACTGCACGCTCGTTTGAACTGTAGGGAGACGTGGCGAAATTGGAAGTAACTCGGTGGTAGCGGAAGCCGATCCCGTAGCCGATCCCGTGCTATGGCAGGTGCTGGAGTTGGAAGGTCGTTCTAGAACCGCTTTGCTCTCAGAAGCTTTAGTGAAATTCTCAACCTGTCAAATCATCCCGGTTTGGTTCTGTGCCTCCGTTCTGCGGTCGTTTAAATAGCTCCTCTGTCTCCCCTCAGCGTTTAGCACGCCTGCCGCCGATGTCGTCGTGGGCGGCAACTGCGGTCGCTTTTCATCTTTGCATAGTCTCTGGGAGCCGGGCGGCCTTTGTCAGGTCTCATCAAATTGCTCTTCTGCTCGCTGGCGTTTTCTAGGTCTCTGTCGTTCTTGCGGAGAATCGCATGCGGTATTCGAATTCGGGTCTTGCTGCTGCATTGTGAAATGCTGGTGAGGTTAACGTATGCCTGTTGGTCGGAACGCTTCAAGTACTATATTCCCAAATGCGTCTTGCCTCTTTTACGCGCCTCTTGTTTGTTACTTACCTGGCTACCGCGTCCCAGGTCTGTCACTTTCTGCTGACGACCTTCTGTGTTCGAGGTAGATAAACGTCAGTGTGTCAGTTAGTTCAGGACTACGTTAGATTTCGTTCCCCTGTTTTTACTAGAGATACTGGGTCGGGAGTTCTTTCTGTGTGGTTCTGTTTCTGTCCGTTGCATGAACGATGCCTTTCAGGCGTATGGGTTTGCAGCTTTTCAGCTGAGCTACGGGATGGCGTACGGTCTGGTTTGTTGTTGCAGAGTGTCGGTGACCCGGATGAGTTTTCAGTCTCGGGAGGATCTCCTGGAGACGTATTGCTAACTTAGGAATGGCCGTGCTTAGGTTTGGCCGCGGTTAGTTGACGTCGCTCAGTAAATAGCCCGTGTCGGTGCCCGGCTCGCTCTTTCGGATCGTCTTGCAGCCTTTTTCTTCTATCTTGTTTCCCTCTGATGGCGCCGGGGCGTCCAGAGGCTTCTGCAGCTGCTTCTTCCCGTAGGCCTGGGACCAGCTGTGTTCTTACGTTCTGTCTCTTACTGTTGCCCTGCTGTGAGAGCCTCTCAGTTGCTGAATTTGAAGCGGGGCAAAAGGCACCTACCGGAAACAGAAACCGTTCCTGACTGTGGTTATTTGTTCTGGGCCAGGTGGAGATCCACTTGGAGGAGATAGAGAACGAAGGTCTCCTGGTGTCGTGGATGTTCGAGGACAGACCGGACTTGAACCTTTCGGTTCTTCCGAGACTTCAGCTTCGCGAGGTGAGCGGCAAACGGCGGGAGGCTGGAGTCGACCGGAGGAAGGGGGGGGGGGGGC